TGTTTTGAGTCCCCTTTTGAAGGTATCAAGTTTTATTTCGCTCCTCAAATCATGAGGGAGAGTGTTCCAAACTGTTGGCCCAGAAAAAGAAAAAGCTCTCTCACCATATTTCTTCAGTGACACACGAGGTGTTGAAATTAGTCTAGAGCCACTGGATCTTAGTTCACGTGATGGTGTGTGTGGCACAATGAGTTCTTGAATGTAAGTGGGAGACTGGTTAGTTTGACCTTTGAAGCACAGTAGGGCTAACTTATATTCAATTCTCGCTTTCAGTGGAAGCCAATGGAGCTCTTTAAGTAGGGGAGTCACATGATGGTGTTTTGATTGTTTTAATACTAGCCTGGCAGCATTGTTTTGAATGCGTTGGAGCTTTGCTATTTTTTCTTCGGGTACGCCAGCGAACAGTCTGTTGTTTTTGTGTATCAGTCTAACTTTTCCCTCGCACTGTATGGCCTTTGTGTCTTGAAAAAGGATTTAAAGCAGAATGCTTGATACAGCTTTGCCTGGGCATAGACATTTACGAAGCAGATTGCCAAAGCATGCATCTCTTTACTCAAATTCAGAACGTGATGTGTTTAATTTTTAACCAGTTCTGTATGGGTATTTTCTGTCAACGTCCACCCTGGAAGGTTCCAGTCTGGTAAAACGAGAAACACACTGGCAACAATATTGGATCTCGTCTAAAGTATCTAATCTTTCATTCTGTTAAATCTCATTTTTGATAAACACCATTGTGTGGCGTTGGTGACTTGATAGTTAGGCCTTCAGACTCACAGCTGTAAAGTCGTTGGTTCGAATCCTGTCAGGGGCCCGACTTTGCGTCTTTGGGAAAGGCATTTTACACGAACGAATTTTCCTTTACTTCACCCAGGTGGAAATTGGTACCTTGCTATAGACAGCGAAATATATTATCGGTATGTCGGTGTTTGAACAGTTAGTGCTACTGTTTGCTGCTGCTTGCAAGGTAAACTTCCAGGGAAGCCGAGAATATCTATGGGTGTTCTATGGTCCGCTTGGTTAATAATATTATATAGGTTGCCGTCTAGCGAGGATATCATCATCATCATCCAGTGCCAGATCTGCGACAGACATCGGCGATCATGATTTTCCATTCATTCCTTTGCTCGGATGCTCTCAGAAAAGCTACGTTTCCCTGATTTTTCCCTGTTACCCATTTGTTTAGGTTCCCTAAGTATGTTGTTCTGGGCCTACCCCTGCCTCGCTTGCCCTCAATTTTGCCAGTGAGAGCTAGATGTTCAAGACCCTTATGTCTATTCAGGTGTCCCAAAAACTGCAATTGTCGTTTCCTGATTGTTTTTAACATTGAGCATCCCAGGTGGGCTTCATCAATCACTACCTCATTTGATTTCTTTTCCTTCCACGATACTCTTAGCAGTCTCCTAAGAAACCACATTTCTGTTGCCTCTATTTTATTTTCACTGTCTTTAGTGATTGTCCAGCATTCACAGCCATATAGAAGGGTTGACCAAACATAGCATTTCAGGATATGCGTTGTACAAATTGTAATGCTTGTTATCCGTCTGCGCTCCTGACTTTCTGCAGCCTTTCTACTGCTACTCTTTGGCTCCTTCTCACTGTTGTCTTTCAGCCACACCCCTGATCTTAGAATAAGTGTCATCTAACACCTAGCCTTCTCGGATATAATAAGGGCGAAAAAAGTCTCGGAGGTCCCGTGTGCAATTTGCACACGCTAAAGATCACTCGGTGGTCCTAAAATCGATAAGAGTAGGCTTCGGTCGCCACCCAGAGAAAATTCAAAATTTATTCCTATCAAACTGAAAATGTTTATTGTGCCCCGAGCGCTCATATCTCATAACATGACCTTACGCAGTTTCGAGCTCTGTAAATCACTTAACCCCCCCCCCCCCCCAAAAAAAAGTATTTTTATAGCACTACATCGTGGCGCATTCTTCTAAATGGCTTATTCGACCGCTGAGTAAGATTCCGTCATACGTCACTTTTCAAAAGAGCGTACGGCGCAGTTTTACACTAACCAGTCGATTTGTGTCTAGTAGAACGTGAAACTGAGATGCCCCTCCCCTTTTACGAAAGTAAACATAGTCTATAAATACTAATATCATATAGAATGGTCCATTTTTCAACTTAGTTAGACTCGACCCTACTGCTTCCCTTTGCAATATTATAAATTATCAAGCAGCATGAAAAGAAAAAGGCTATATGAACGATAGAGCAAAACAGCCGTGTATTGTATAGCCTTGCTGTCTTGCTTAGTTCTCATCATGGCTTCATAAACTCTCATTTGGGAGCAATGCCTGCTACAACAGTTAACAGGCTCAACTGGTACAACTGTCTGAGCGGGAGGCTGGAGGGTGCCACGAACAGGACATACTTTTTCTCTTCCCCTTTGCTGTCTCTGTCTACCTGTTTTACTTTCCCCCTGCCCCATATAGTCTTCAGATCGGTCCGAC